GTAGACACCCCAAACTATTTGATGAGAGGCATGTTGAGTCAATAGAAAAATTTATTTTAGTTTTTGGAAAATGACAAAAAAAAATTTTTTTCTACACAAAGTTGTCATATATTGCAATATACATTCTGCTACTTCTCCCAAGTATGGGGAAACCACATGTGAGATACTTTTTGACAGTCTAGCCAAGTACAGGACCCCAAAATCCAATAAGCACCTTCAGGATTTTAAAGGGCTTTGTTTCCTCATTACACTTCCTATCACAGTTTTGGAGGCCCTGAAATGCCAGAATAGTACGAAACCCCCCATGACCTCATGGTGTGTATTTTGCAGATCTCGTTTGTTGACACAAGTTTTTAGAAAATGAAGAAGGAAAACAAAAACAGATTTTTTTTCTTTTTCAAAATCCTGTTAGAAAAAATGAGATCTGCAAAATACTCACCATGTCTCTTTTTAAATTCCCTGGGGTATCTACTTTCCAAAAAAGGGTCATTTGGGAGGGTTTGGTGCTACCCTGGCATTTCAGGGCCTCCAAAACTGTGATAGGTAGTGAGGTAGTGAAATGAGGAATTTACAAGTCTCACACATGTGGTATCCCCATACTCAGGAGAAGTAGCAGAATATATTTTGGGGTGTAATTCCAAATATACCCATGGCATGTGTCAGCAATATACCATTTAAATTACAACTTTTTCTAAAAATATAAAAAAAAAATTTTTTGTCATTTTCGAAAAACTTGTGGAAATAAAGAAATCTTCTATGGACTCAACATGTCTCTCAGCAGATAGCTTAGGGTGTCTACTTTCCGAAAGGGGTCATTTTGGGGTGTTTGTTCTGCCCTGGCATTTTAGCACCTCAATAAATGTGATAGGCAGTCAGAAAGTAAAAGCTGTGTAAATTCCAGTACCTATACCATAGTTTGCCGACTCTATAACTTTCACACAAACCAAATAATATGCAGTTCAGGGGCTGACTGACCATTTGGGCACTCGGGCTTTGCCCAAGGGCTCAGGGTCAATAAGGGCCCCATGAGAGGCTCAGTCTGCCCCTGGAGGTGCCGATAGATTACCATGCAGAAAAGAGGAGTTTAAGCCAAAAGGCAGGGAACAATGGCATCCCTACCAGCATCTGATACAGCACTGGGATAAAACTCAGGTGCCAGCCACGATGAGAGGAGGGATGGCGGCGCCATGAGGATGATGGCTGTGACAGCTGCTGTGGACACTTCTCCTCCTGGAGAGCTCAGCTAAGGGGCGGGGCCACAATCCCCACCATGGGGGACATCAAGTCACTGAGTCCTGAACTTAGCTGGAGGTGGCAGAGTGAAGTGCACTGTGCCGTCCAGACTTTTTACCCAGAGCACCCTGCATTGTGTGAGCCGGCAGCAGGTTAGTGACATTGACAGCACAGTGATCACCATACCAGCAGCTAGTGTCACTCTGCTCGGCCAGTCTGAGTGTTCCTGCCCAGTGCCCAATACACAAGGTACTTCTCCCTATATCTAGTAACCCACTGATCTCTATACACTGAGTGCACGCTGATGTCTGTACACTTCTGTACCACTCAGTGTACAGATATCAATGTTATATATAGGTAATAGCAGTCAGTGTACATATATCAGTGTTTTATATATAGGGAATAGAACTTAGTGAGTGCTGTTACCTATAGATAACACTGATATCTGTACACTCACTGAGTGCAACTCATTGTAAACATCATGGATGGACTTACAACTCCGCCAGTTGGGCACACCTTGAGGGCTCGGGGCCAGTAGGGTGCTTTTGCAGTGCATCATATGGCTCAGGGAGGGTAGACACTTCCCTCTCTTCCTGGCTGCTCAGTGTAATCTCACACCCAGTGCTCCTCCCCCGGGTTCACCCCGCTGCCCCCCTAGCACAGTCCAGCTCCCGAGGATAGTGATCATCCCCAGGTGTGCTTACCCCCAGCAGCACCAGTGTCCCCATCTCCCTGTCCTCCCTTTCCTCTCCAGAAAAGAATCCTGGGGATGTGAGGACCAATGTAGCTCAGCCAGGATCTGCTCTTCCTCTTCAGTACTCAGGATCATCCTCTCCCCCGAGGTGTAGCACTGAGGATGAGGAAGGACCAGGAGCTGCTCCATGCTGTCAAGGCTAAGGATGTATGTATGGTGCTGAATCTGCTGCAGAGATTCAAGGTGGCAAACTAGCCACAGCCATGCTACCTACCTACTGTGATGATGATGGGTTTAATGGGATCAGTCAGTGGATAATGAGATTATACCAGGGAGGGGGGATCAGCACAGGCTGGGGGCAGATTGAACATTTGGGCACTGCCCAAGGGTCTGGGGCCAGTAGAGGGCCTCATTCCCAGCATCCCGCAGAACCAGGCTGGAGTCTCGGAGCCCAGTGCCAGAACAATTTCTGGCACTTGGCTCAGCTACTTCATCTCCCACTGCAGGGGATTACTCCGGGGGGGTTTCCCCGGGGGTGGGGGGGACTACACTGCTGGGAGTACACTGGGGGAGATTTACTCTGAGGTGGGATTTAGATGAGGGGAGTGCACTGGGGGATTTACATTGCTGGGAGGGGAGATTTGGGGAGTGAAAAAGGATTTATGCTTGAGGGGCAATTTTTGCTGGGATGACGAATTTAGGTTACGGGAGGAAGGATTTGTACTGGGGGGGGGGGGGGGTTGGAGGGAAGAGAATTTTGTCTTGGGGCTATCAATGTTGGAGAAGGATCTGGGAGTTCTGGTAGATCACAGGCTTAATAATGGCATGCAATGCCAAGCTGCGGTTTCTAAAGCGAGCAAAATCCTCTCTTGTATTAAAAGAGGTATAGACTCCAGAGAGAGAGAGATATCATATTACCCCGGTACAAATCATTAGTAAGACCTCATCTGGAATATGCAGTTCAGTTTTGGGTACCAATTCACAAAAAGAACATTGGGGAACTTGAGAAAGTACAGAGAAGGGCAACGAAACTGATAAGAGGCATGGAGGAGCTCAGCTATGAGGAAAGATTAGAGGAACTGAATTTATTCTCTTTTGAGGAGAGGAGATTAAGGGGGGATATGATCAACATGTATAAATACATCAGTGGTTCATATAGTGAACTCGGTGTAGAGTTATTCACCCTGAGGTCATGACAGAGGACAAGGGGGCACTCTTTACGTCTGGAGGAAAAGAAATTTAATCTCCAAACACGGAAAGGTTTCTTCAGAGTGAGAGCTGTGAAAATGTGGAATAGACTCCCTCAAGAGTTGGTTCTGGCCAGCTCAGTGGATTGCTTCAAAAAAGGCCTGGATTCTTTCTTGGATACACAGAATATAACTGAATACTAACATTTATAGGTAAGGTTGATCCAGGGAATATCCGATTGCCTCTTGGGGGATCAGGAAGGATTTTTTTCCCAGCAGGAGCAAATTGGATCATGCTTTGCTGGGTTTTTTGCCTTCCTCAGGATCAACTGTGGGTGTAGGATTATAACTTTTTTTTTTTCTATGGTTGAACTGGATGGACTTTTGTCTTTTTGCAGCCTGACTAACAATGTAACTATGTAACTATTGGGGAAAGGAGGTTTTCTATTGGGGGGATATTTGGAGGGGAAGATAATTTGTACTAGAAAGGGGATTTGGAGTGGTTGTGGGGCAAATTTGTGTTGGGAGGGTGGCACACATAGGTGCCTGAGGTGTTTAAAAATCCTTTATTGTATACTACAAAACTCAACACTGAAGTGTGTAGGTTTGGGGGGACACAGGGGGCCCCATGATCTCTTTTTGCCCAGGGGCCCCATGAGTTGTCAGTCCGCCCTTGATGCAGTTATTGGGATTTTTTTTTACCAAAGACATGTAGCAAAATACATTTTGGCCTACATTTATGATGAAATTTGAGCTTATTGGATATTTTTTATGATAGCAATACAGAAATGAGAAAATATTGTTTTGTTTTGTTTTTTTTTTTCAAATCTTTCGGTCTTTGTGTGTTTATATTGCAAAAAAAAAACCCCAGAGGTGATAAAATACCACCAAAACAAAGCTCTATTTGTGTGAAAAAAATAACAAAAGTTTCATTCATGTGTATTATTGCATGAATTGTTAGTTAAACTAGCGTAGTGCCGTACAGCAAAAAAATGGCGTAAATTCCAATATATATACTTTAGTTTGTAGACGCTATAACTTTCACACAAAGCAATCAATATATAGTTGGGATTTTGTTTTACCAAAGACATGTAGCAAAATACACTTTGGCTTACATTTATGAAAAAATTTTAGTTCAGTGGATATTATTTATAACCGAAAGTAAAAAATATGTTTTTTTTCATAATTTTCAGTCTTTTTTTGTTTATAGCGTGAAAAAAAAAACCCAGAGGTGATCAAATACCACCAAAAGAAAGCTCTATTTGTGTGAAAAAAAGACAAATTTTGTTTGGGTACAGCTTTGCATGTTTGCGCAATTACCAGTTGAAATAGCGCAGCTCCGTAATGCAAAAAAAGGCCTGGTCAGGGGTCAGGAAGGACAGTAAATCTTCTAGAGGCCAAGTGGTTAAAACATTAGTATTTAATATCATTTAATTATAATTTACAGAGTTTTAGGTTTTTAGTATTTTGCTCAGTTATCAAGGTAACTAAAATGAACTGGACTTCTATTATAATATGTTATAATAGAACTGTGCATTTTGCACATAGTATACTGGCTGCCTGTTTGCTGCCCATATATCTTGATTGCCCAGTTATTGGCCAGATATTGCAACAGTTAACCATTTTTACCAACATCTTATAAACAACGGCCTGCTTGTTACCCGTGTATTGTCAAATTTTTCCAGTTGTTGCCAAATATCTATAGATAACTCATGACGGCAAGTAAAATTTAAAAAGATAGATGTGGATAACAGGACACAACAAAATATATATAAATGAAGGTAGATAGGCAATTAAATATGTAGAAAAATTAAGAGAAAACAGTAAATACAGTATATACACAGAAAACGTACATGATCATCCAGCTAACCCAATAAATATATTACCTGATGCTGTACAGTACGTTTCCATTTTTGAAAATCCTCAACAGTTTGTTGTCCGTTGTGACATCATGGAAGTTTGCCCCCTTTTCATTAGCGAAAAACAAATCTGGTTTCCAAATAGAATCCAACATAGAAGGATCCAAATCTAAGGAGTCATCTGGGTATTCACTGTAGGATAGTCTAGGGTCATTCCACTGCTGCCGCAAAAAAAAATATTCACTCTGTAATCCTAGAAAGTGGTGAATAACAAGTTAATATCACGGCTGAGACTTGGTAACATGTGGCACTTTAAACTCTTCACTGCCAGTGACCCCTGCAAAAATAGGATAAACATGTAGGTGCCTCTGGAAGTAAAGTAGTTTCATATGGAATGATAGTGGAAGATGTTAGATACTCTTTCAGGCATAAGCTCTTCAAGACTATGTATGGTCCACAAAACAAATATTTTGACTTTCAAGTCAAATATATAATCCTACTGAGGTAATTGAATATTACCATATACTGTATGCTGTAAAGTAGCTATTATTCTCATCATAGCTGCAAATGTCCTTGAACTAAACTCTACAAACCTTGTTTTGCTTGAACTGGGGTTTCAATAAAAAATTGATATCTCTTATTTTGTGACTTCTTCATATAATAAAACAAGTTCTCCTACCCATGTTTTCACTGAACTCAAGCTTGGGCAGTGCAACACAATCACAAAATACAATGATTGCATACAGTTAATTTTTATATGGTTGGAATATTACACCAAGCACATTATACAGCAGCAAATTGAGGATCCTTCTGCTGCTTTATGGCTGGATTGGAGTCTCCTATGTGCTGTATAGCACAGCAGAATGAGGATTCCTCTTCACCTGGAAAAAGTATTTTGGAAGATAGGTGTGTAGGGTGACTGGTCTGCAAATTTAGTAAGCTACAATGTCAGGTAAGAATGTTGTATGCTGGTGAGATTTATATTTCATTGGCTTTTGTATGGTCTATCCATCCAATTGCCACAACACCCAATTTATTTTTGATGCTTGTCAGCTCATTGGAGTGCAACAGCTATATATTCCTTGGTTACCTGCTACAAGTATATGTGTGTAATAAAGCATCAGTATCCCATTTATGGTACATCTGGCAAGTCATATATTAGTAATTCCACAGTTAGCTGGAATCATTTCCATATGTCATCACAGGTCCTACTTCAAAGCTCTTGTATGTGATAGCAGAAAACCCTCTGAAGGCTGTGGTTTTCAGTGTTCAGCAGGCTCAAGCCTGATAATTCACAGACAATATTTCTAAAAGAGGATGTGATTTATAGTCACAAATGGGTTCATTTACTAAACTGGAGAGTGCAAAATTTGGTGCAGCCGTGCATCATAGCCAATCAGCTTCTAACTTCAGCTTGTTCAATTAAAGTGTTACTAAACCCACATCAGTAAAATCAGTCTGTATATGCAATAAAGCATGCTTGTTATACTCACTGTGGAACCCAAGAGGTTAATCCTCTACAATGTATACAAAGGCTGCTTGATCCTGTATTCTCTGATCCTCCCCTTATTTTTACTGTACCCAATCCATCTGCTGATAGTACAGAGCTCTAGGAGGCACTCTGCACATGCTCAGTTTGGTGTGTATTGCTAGAGAGGGTTTTTTTTTTCTTTTGGAGGGTACATGTGATCAGCACAGGGTCAATCAGCAATGTCCAGACAGAGGGTCAGGGGTTATGCAGTCTCATAGGACAGTCATAGCAGAATGAAAATACTTCCTGCAATCTTTAATCAGTGCTCAGCTGGACATTGATAGAAGTCACAAGACTTCTCTAACTGAGAAAAGGTATTTAGCAGTTTGTATTTACTAAAATAATTGTATTTCAATGTTGTGTGTACTGTGGGAGACCAAATATAATGAATGCAGGGTCATGGGTGTAGTAGCACTTAATGTTGACCATTTTCCGAATGCGCAATCTTGCAGCCAATCTTGAAAGCTAGCAAACAACATCCTAGTCGATGTGAATGGAATTCCCAGAGATTTGTCACAAAATCAAGTGTTTAAAGGATTGGAGGTTTATTCCTCAACCCTTGGTCTAGTGCAACCCAAGATTTTTGGTTTTCTCCCCGCTTTCTCTCTTGGTGATAACGGTCACCAGGACAAATATAAGGACACAGCGGAGCCTCAGACAGCAATAAAAACTTGAGAAAGGGTAAAACCCCTCACTACTATATAAAAAAAAAAAAATAAAGAAATATATATATTTGGCTTTTTTTTCAGTGGGAACGCGGGGATGCGCAGTCCTGGCAAATCCAACAGTGAACATGTGTAATGGCAAGAGGTGCAGGGGTGTACTGGAGGGTCTATTGATGCTGGCTGCTGGAGGATAAATTGTCACTAATGAGAATCTATTTTTGTTCCCCCCCTATTGTTGCAGGGGGGGAGTTTTATGTTGGTGAGGGGTCAGTTGTTGCTGCGAGGGATCTCCTGTCAAGGGAAGAGTCTGTTGTTGCTCGCTGCTGGAGGACCTATCGATGCTGGCTGTTGGAGGACCTATCGATGCTGGCTGCTGGGAGATGTGATTCTGGGAGTTTATAATTATTGGGGTGGTATTTTGTTGTGGGTGTCCATTGTTGCTGGGGGTCTATTGAGTGGGGGATCAAGTGTTGCTGGCTGCAGGGGATCTACTGTATTTTACTGCTTTTCAAATTACTTAACACCACAAAATTATACTTTGTCCTGTATTCTCTAAAAGGGCGGTACTGGGAGGTGGGTAGCACGTGCAAGCAAGGGACGGTGCTTGGAGGTGGGTAGGGGGCGGAGACTAGGGGTGACTCAAAAGGTGGGGACTTCCCACACTTATTCTCTGAGAAAAAACCCCATATATATATATATATATATATATATATATATATATATATATATATATATATAATATATATATATATACGTACAGTGTATATATATATATATATATATATATATATTTTCGTTATCTAATAATGTGCTTTTCCAAATCCTGTATTTATAAATTCTTCTGCACATGATTGGTTATTTAAAGTAAGTATAGTTTCCTGTTATTTATTAAACTTAGAGAACATTATGCAAAGTGTTAATAAATAAGTCACTATGATTTGAAGTTTAGAACCAGGAATTTTCAGAACAATCTATGAAAGCTCTAAAAATACTCTCTGGATAATATAGCTTCATCTACCCAATCACACGCCATCATTTATGGATGCCTACTAATCCCTTAGGCAGGAAAAAATCTAATAAGAATGTATACAGCTTTAAAATGCTATTATTTAATATTTGTGTAGTGGACCATAATACTCGGTTTTAATAGTCTAGACTGTTCTAAGGTAAGGTCAAAATACATAAATAAAATCTTTTAATAATCCAGAAATTAATGTTTCTGTCCTTATAATGAAATTTTCTTTTAATTTCTTAAAGTTTTAAATGAAGATAAGACAAAAAATATTGTGTTTATATTTTTTTAATCCTGAAGAGTATCGCCTTCTTTTCACAATGTGAATACAGTTTTCATTAACACTGATTCTGCATGTGCAAAAAAATGCCACAGCACAAGAGACCCCATTAGTCTGCATTCCAGCAATGCACAACAAACAACTATAATTAATTTGATATGAACAAATTATGCATTGTGGTTTTGGGAACAATGGTGTTGCAATGAGTTGATGGGTTTTTAAATGCCCTCCATATGCCATATGATATGTAGATCAGTGAATAACAGACGCTGTTATCCTAGTAATGCCACAACAGTTTAGTCAAAGCACTGTATCCTTTATCCCTGATCCTATGCTTGAAGAGTGCAGGCTTCTGTGAACTCTGCGGCAGATTGAGGATTCCTCATTGTCTATATTCCAAATATTTGCTCTGACCATATGGGATTGCTGGCTAGGAGTATCTTGCTGTTAGGACAAATAGGCTGTTTTTTTAATGGCCTTAACATATCTGGCAAATGGCTAAATGAACAGTTAAAATACATACATAGAAACTGTTTTACCTGCCAAAATTGTTTGTAAGGATAACAATAAATTGCTCATTAAAAGATACAATAAAAAATCAGTTTAAGATGTAATATTTGCTTAGAACCATGGAGTGTTTTTTTTTTTTTTACTAATAGATATCCTCACTTTGACAGCCAGCATTATTCAACCCACTTCTTCTAAACCCACACTGTCACCAGCTTTTCTCCATCACACTGCCTTCACCTCCTATCAGCATGTTCCTTATCGGCACATAACCTGATTGGCTCCTTAAGCTGCTTCTTCCTCTCACACTCAAGCTTTGCTATACAGAGACTAGAAGGGACTGACATGGCAAACTCAAGTACACACGCTGCTCCCATTTAAAAGAAATTACATTTATTAATGTATTAATAAGTACAGAGCTATATTAACTTGTGTATTTTATATTTGCCTAGAGATCACCTTTTAAATCTAAAGATCCTTTCAGACTGAAACAATTTGGCTGGAGCTATACTTTTAAAAGTCAAAAACAGCTATCTACAGATCACTACACCCACAGATATGCATTAGGTTACTTTCACACTGATCCGCCACAAAAACATATGCTTCTACCATGCTCTCTGAGAGTTTTTAAAGGACATGTGACTTAAAAACTGCACCAAAAATGCTTATCAGAGATGTTTTTGAGGCATTTTTTTTAGATGCTTTTCAGGCGTTTTCCATTGATTTCAATGGGAAGAGGAGTTTTTGGGGCATTTTCTTTTAACTCACCAAACATGCCCCAAAGATGCTGCAAGCAAGAGTTTTTACACCGCACTGCAAGTGCAACACCTCAGTGTGAAAACATACATAGATATACATTTACATACATAGGGAAGCGATTTTCTTGAGCTTTTCAGGTGATTTTTTAACACAAAAATGCTTCAAAAACTCCTCAGTGTGAATGTAGCCTTAGAAAAATATATTGGGCTATTGTAAATGTTTGCTTTTAAATAAGTGTTTGTAAAGGCTCAAGGTTTTTTACCTTCTATGCATATAGGTAAACAACCTTCTGTGTGCAGCAGCCCCCCCCCCCCTCAGCCCCCCTAATACTTACTTGAGCCCCATGTTGATCCAGTAATGTTTGAGAGGACTCTGGAGACTGTTCCTCCTCATTGGGTAAT